AGTTAGTGTTTTCATTAAAAGACTCTCCCTTTCTTTGTTACTCTGGGAATAAAGTAGACGGTTCAACTTCAGGTACATTCTACTTGGGTAGTGAGCAGCAACAGTGAAAAAATGAATATTTGCATTTAGTTTGGTGAGAAAACTTAATAGTTGAACATTTTGGCAGTCTGCAAATGTCTTTCAAATCAGGGAATAAAATCTTGGTGCTATGAATGTCGACAGCAAAACTTCTGCGAGCAATGCAGGGAAGGATCTCACCAAAAGCTTTTTGAGTCCCTGTTTGAGTCAGAGCACCTCAGCACTTCGTCAAAGCAGCCCCTCAGTTTGAAGTTTTTAATATATTCTTCTTTAAGGCGAGCAGCTTGAAATTTGTTTGTGGTTCTTCTGAGTCGTCATTAGCAGCAACTTCTTAGGCACAGGAGTGAGTATTTTCTAAGAATGCTTTCAGGCTTTAGTTGTTGTACAGTGAGAGCCCAACAGGTTCCCTTTTAGAGACCCCATGTTTTTATTCACTTTGTCTGAGACAATTTTTTTCTCCTACAATTGGTGTTTGTATTTGAAAGGCATTAATTCAAACTGAAAGACCAGCATACATAAGTGACTGCAAAGCTTTTATGCACGGAACACTTTCTAAGGGACCATAATTTTTATTTTTTGCTTTACTGTTCATTTATACAAATTAGCAGGCGCACCCTGCCTGTCACCTGGTCTTCTGCCAATTCAAATAGGAAAGAAATAGGAAAACTGGAAAGCAAAGTTCAACTGTCCTAGGATATAATTGTCCAGTTTGGGAAGTTAAATTTTTTCCTCTGAGTCTAGTGTTGGATGACCTCAGCTTTTTACATCTATTTTTGGTTTGAGGAAATTCTGGGAAATTTCTGCCTCTGGGGCAAGATAATTGTATTTCAAACTGTGAATTCTTGGAAAGCCCTTGTGAGTGCTGGTGCACATGTAACACTGGCCCCACTGGGAGCTCAAGTCAGTCCAGTGACCCATGCCTACATGCGCTCCATTTCTTACAGCATTTCTCAGGGCAGATTTGAATACACTGAGACGCTGGGCAGGCAGATAAAGTCAGGGATTTCTATCAGGAGCTCCAATCCAGGAGTGTGGGGCTTCTCTCAGTCATGTTTTTGCTGAAGACAACTTATATGAGATCCAGAAATTATCTTTCCTATTCTTGCGGAAGTACTGCACATACTACCAGTAGTGTGCATTTTAAGGAAACAAACTATCAAAAGAGATCTCTATTTCCTTCTGGAGCAAGCAGTTCTTATGCAGCTGAGCTGTCATGAAAGAAAAATCAGTACAGCATTTGACCCACAGCCTTACTTCACACAACTGAATATTGAGACAAATTTTACTGAGCAGAACTACTTACATAATATCATCATTAAACTTTCATATTTCATAATATGCCAAGTGTCAGCTCTGTGGGTTTTGTAGGGAAACAAACAACCCAGATGTAAAAATACTACAGTTCTTGCAGGTTGCTACTTGTCGGAGTGCTCCCAGTTATATTAGTTTCCACAAACAGAAGGCTCACCCGACGCTTTGACTTTTATGACTACAGGTTTGCAGGATAAAACTGTCAGCTGCTAAGGAAAGATTCCAAGGACATTATCCACATGGAAACTTAGAGCTTGTCTATATAATTCCAAATAAATGTTGAGGCGTAGCAACTATTATTCTTTATACCATTAAAATTTAGTAATACAGTTGACTCTAAGAGACTTGAAAAAACCCAGTCTTATGCAAAATAACACTTGGGAAGAAAGAATGAGGTAGGGAACAAAGTCTATTTATTTATTTTTACATATAAATCAGGAGGTCACTGAAACTCACAAGCACTGAAGAAATAGCCTGCTTGAGAAAATTGAAACATGTCACCTCGGTAAACTCTGACTCCATAGGAAAGCTTCATGCTCTCTGAAGGGGCTCGAACCTTCATTTGGACATTAATTTTTTAAATTAATGCTCCAGGATATTCACACAAAGACACAGATATCGACTACTGTGTAGAATATATTTTTAATTGGAAGAGGCCATGCCAGCTGAGCTATAAAACAAGTACAAGCTGTTAGATATAACAATAGAGAAAAAGACTAGGAGAAAAAAGTGAGTCATGAAAAAAAAGGGAAAAAATCTATTTAGTTAAAAGAGACTTCCCAGGACTCCTAAGCTAAGGTAATGGTAGAAAAACATGAAACTTATCATGACCATCACGAATGCTGTTCAGGGATGCAGGGATCTTGATACCATGGAAATGGCGCTTGTATTCAGGATTATCTTACATGATTCACATATAAATGAAGATGGTTCAGATTTTGGAGCAGTAACAACACACATCAAAATCTGCAAGTGTTGTTTATGATGCACATACATGCACTGTATAGGGCATTGTGGTATAGAGATGCAAGAAATTAAAAAGGATTTTAATTTTCCTCTTTCCATCAGAAATGAGTGGTGTAAGCTGTAGCTCCTGGTTCATAGATAGATGCCACTGACTTCAGGGTCAACCAGATGTCACTGCTCTGATGCTGACTTGAGGCAAATACAGCCAATATGTTTTCTGTAAAATTAAATGCCTTTATTTGCTTCTGTAAAATAAGTATCAGGGGTACTACTTTTGCTATTTGTTTTCTATTTTATTCCTTTTGCCTCTGAGAAACATGACTGCATGTTCTAACTGGAAGCACAGTCCTGACAAGACTGTTGAGAAGCCAAAATGATGCACTTTGTTAGTGCAGACATGCAAGAGCTTACAGATGGCAGCGACGCTGGCGGTACAAACCTGAGGGGACCCACTGGGTACTTTGCTGCTGCTGCAATGCAGAGCTCTAGTTCAGGCATCCTCTACCTCATGCGAGACAGTTTCTATATATGATAGGTAGGTGCCTGGAACAGGATATTAAGCGTACTAAATACATAGTTTGTGAGGCTCTTCCTCAAAGATCTTTCTAGGCATCCTCTAAGAGGAGGGGTGGATTTAAGGCAGAGAAGTTAAGCAGTGAGGCCCATTGGCATTCACGGCTGGTGCCAGGTTTGCTTCTCACAAAGCTGGAAGAGCAGTTGTTTCTTTGCTCATCGGTGCACTTGCTTAACACCTGATGCCTCCTATTGAAGGCGTTTCCTTGGAGTTATCGCTCACTGGTCAGGAATGAGATGCTGCTCAGCACACCTTTGGGCCAGAGCATTCCTTTAAGAGGAGGATTATAAGGATTTGAATCCTTCAGGAAAGGATCCCACTTCCTTGGGGACTCCTCAAAATAGAGGTGGGAACTACCATTTTAAAAGAGCACTTATGATCCCTGCTTACTTCTTTGAAACAGAAGTTGTGTGCACCTGCCCTGGGGACCAGATTCGGCTTCCAAACAGGAGCAGCCGTAGAGGGCAAGGGTTCAGGTGCATCCCCTTCCCTCAGCAGATTTGGCAAGGTTGATGTGAAATGAAGCACTTGCCTTTGGCGATGGGTGCATTAGCTGCAGGAACGCTTTTCTGCCTTTTCACATAGGGGTGTGCTGCCAGTCATTGCACATCAGAAGCTGTAAGCTCCCAGGAACTGCAGCCTGCGATGCCCTTTAAAGTATTGAGGCCAAGACAAGAAAAAAATCTTGGGCTTCTTTTGTCTCCCCTTTCCAGACAGTGTCCAAGTGTCTCTGTATTCCTAGTGATTGTCCTTTACTGTCTGACATGACCAGCACTAAAAGTCTACATATTGCAGCACCTAGCTGGTGGGTGCCCAGGCTCTTTACTGGACCTTTCTCTAAATACCTACATGTTCAGCAGTGGTCGCATCTAGAACAGCAAATGAAACGCTGGATATAGAGAAATTTTATATACCAGCTGAGAGAAGGTCGTGATAATGTAATTTTTTGATGTAAGTGCATCTAAGCCTTTCAGAGGGGTTAGCCTTAACTCCTTTTAGCACTGAAGTCAGGGAGAGTGTTCAGCATTGCTATCAAAGCCCAAACACTGTGAGACCTGGGCAGTCAGACCTAAAGTAAGTCAGGTAATAAATACACTTTTCCTCAAACAACACTGTTTGCAAAACTCATAGAGAAAATGCCAAATTTTATCAATGACCTTTTAGAACTATTTTCTGCTTTCAATGTTAAACACATCCATTTTGCCTTTGCATTTATAGGCCCCCTTTTCTTCTCGTATATTTGAGCTCCAGATAATTATTCTAATTAAAAATATGTAAAAGCCAACAAATGCAACAGAAGTATTTTCTCTTTTGAAAACGATGGAAAATTACCTCCAGTATCCATTACTTAGATGCCTCATGACACATTTTTATTTTGCTTCTCCGATATTTTTCTCTTCCTGCCAACACAAATCTCACATATTGATTGACTTCTATTTTACCTGAATACATGACATTAGCCATAAAAAGCACTATTTTATTCTAGTACTCTGGGGGAGGAAAAAAAAAAACAACAATCACCCAACCAGACACTTTCTCCATTGCATACTAAGGCTGCAACGCTTTAATAGCAGAAGGACAAACAAGAATTTTTGCTAAATAGTCTCCTCTGTGGGTAACAGCGCCACATTTCATTATAAATCTTGTAAAGTATTATTTAGAAAAGTACAGCAAAAATAATTAAAAATTAGATCACCATACAGGAACTTATTCATTGAAAGTAATAGTTAAAACTCAGTCAGAAGGCTGGGTATCAAAGGAAAAGATTAAAAAGAGAAATTATAAAGTGTCAAAAAAGTGTCTCCTAAATACACAGGCATCTCAAGGTACAAAAGCACGTACATCAGAAAAAATGAGGGAGAGACTTGTAGGTGATCTGTCATCCTACAGGTCAAATACCACTTACAAATCACACATTATAAGTTGAATCTTTCTCAAAATCAAGTCTGCTCTACAGACTATATACTGTCTACGTGCTACTTACTAGTAGAGAAACTTTCAAACCAATTAACTTCAACATTGTTTCCTGGACTTCTCCTTCCCTCACCTCTTTATACGATTTGTGTTGTCCTTATGGCATGACTTCAGCACAGGCCTTCCTAAACTCACTAATGAATGAAGATATCCACCCAAATAGTTCCTGAGAGTCTAGGTCTTGCGGCTCCCCAAATTTCACCTGTAAATTTGAAAGAGAAGAATATTTAACATTAGTATATCCAAGTAATCTAAACCATGTCCAGGATCTTAAAGAAATTAAAAGAGCAAGAGAAAAGTTAAACATCTTCATTATTAATAATGAAGAAGAACAACAACAAGAACAAGAAAAAGAAGAAGAAAACAGAGCTGGTTAAAATCTCCAGCAAGCTGAGATCCAAATCATCCCAAGTAAAAGTGGCCCCAGGAGTTGTCATCGAATTACTTCAGTAACCTGGCTTTCTGTATAACCCAGTCTCTCTGGCTGGACTATAGATCTCCAGCTGAAGAAATCGTGACGCTTCCTGGCTCTGCAGTTTGTTAGATGAACCCATTCATAAAAGAAAATGCATAAATTAGGGATATGGTTTATATTCTATGGTGGGCATGGTAGCAGCATGTTCAAGCCAAAAAGTTTCCCTTTCCTGTCATTTTGCTTTGCAAACAAAGATAATCATAAGGAAGCAGACATTTGGGGGAGAAAAACTAATTTATCAAAGAGCCACCTTTCCCTGTTCTCTTATTTCCTTCACCTGAAAAAGGTGAACAGATGGAATGTTTTTGAAAAAGATGTGAACAATATTGGCATTGTGTCTGCTCTGCTATAAAACAAAAGGTGAAAGGCAGTCATACTACAAAGTTCAGTACTAGGAGAGCAGTTCCTGCATTAACTAAACACTTCCACATACGTTCTCCAGTTCTAGGATAGGAAAGGATTTTTCATATTAAATCTGTTACTAAGCTTTAATTCAAGAGGTTTGTCATCATTTTCAAAGATTCCCTCTTAATGGGATCAATGAGTTAAAGAACATAACTCTGCCTGCAATGGCTTTCTAATTGAGCAGAACTAATCTAGAGAAAGTGCTCCAAAGGCTTCATCAAAAAGTTTTAAAAGGCATCTTGTGTTGCTGCAAGTTCTTATCTTGGCTGTAATTGAGAGCTACTCTGTAATTGGGGGATACGGCTCTCCCCAGGCTGAACAGCAATAAAGTTGTATTTCAGTAGTTCAGATTGCGACTGAAATGCACAGAAAGGTTTGGATAGGTATCTGTCATTATTTAAACGCGTTCACCTGCACATCATCTAACGTTCCTAGGAGCAAACCCTCTGCCTGGAAATCAGAAACACAGTAAAAGAAACCACTCACATATAATCCAGTCACAAAAACTTTAACATTAACCAGTGACACCTGATTAATAGTTTTGCCTGTTGTGTTCCTAATTGCACCTCCTGGGTGCTCCGAGCCCTTGATCTTTGGCACGGCTCGCCACTCACCCATGGTGTACCATCAGTTAAACAGTAATGAGAGAGGTATTTCCTGGAGCTAATGACCATCTGTGAGAAGTTGATAGCCCACAGCTATACCACAGGCAGTTATCCCCAATTTATTGTTCATTCCATAGAAGTGTCACATGCCAAGGTCATTATTGATTTTATAAGCAGAATATAAAATCATAAAGGTAGGCCTGTGGATTTTTGCTTTATGTGCAACATGATTTCCATGGCTACCTACAACACATTTCCAGATCAGATATTCCCCCTGGTAAGCTAGACTATTCCTTTCTAGTGCTGTTGAGATGATAGCCTGGTCTTTGATCACCCATCCTATTTTATATTTGCTTTACATTTTTGCTGCTTTATAAATATGCAAAAAAGATCTGTCTAGCAATAACATTATTCAAAAGAAAAAAAATCCATTCTAAGGGAGAGAAATATATCAAATGCCTAACTTTAGAGAATAACGGGGAAGGGAGGGCAAAAACCAGCTGGGTTAAAACTTGAGGAAACTTCCAGCTACATGGAAAATGAAATCCTCTTCAGATGCAAATAAGAGTCTCAGATGAGAGTTTCCAATACAAGAAAGGAAAGCGAAGAGCCTCACACATGCATCTGTAGCGCAGCATCACACATGTAATGCCTCCTGGCTGAACGTACGCAGCTGGAGAGAAAGGATGTCTGTGCAGAAGGAGTGTGACAGAGCGTGCACGTGCAGGAGGGCACGTTCAGCCCTCACCGGGCATGGCACAGCTCTGCAGGCAGGACCAGCCGCACAACGCTAACTCCTTCTGAAGATGGCTTTTAGGTAAAATGGGTCAGATTCTTCCATACCCCATGCAAGAAGTGTCCCCCCAAAGGTTTTACAGCACAAATCTCCCCACTTTTAAATTTGGTGAATACTCTTCAGCCATTTCCACTCATGTAACTCAAGTGTTAATTCTCTCATTTACGCTATTTTTTCCATGTTTTTTTCTTCTTGCTTTATCCCAGTCCTTCAACCCTTTTTGAAGGCTTGGGACGGAGTTCTTCATCTACATACAAATTTGGCTTGCCTCCCTGTTTGTGGAAGGCTGCAAGAGACACAAAGAAACCCTTGCACATTGTTACAATACTACTTTTAGTAAAACATAACTAATTAAATGTCCTTGCTCAAACAGCTCGCTAATCTTCGAAGTCTGTTCAGATGGGCCCCCAAAGGTCTTCCTGGCTGTATCTTCTGTGTAACATTTGCCTATCATAATCCCTCCCTCTCATTAAAAAAACAAACAAACAAACAAAAAAAACCCACAACCACCCGCAAAACCACCACCACCACTTAAAGCCATGTCCTAATCCCATGACCAGGAAGTTATTCCAGTTTCAGAGACTAGTACTGCATTTCAGCAACTCTGTCCCTTTCCTTAAAACATCCTAGTGTGACTATTCTGCCAGGGAATACCATTACCATAGCAGAGACCTCCTGAATTCCTAACACACTCCAAGAATATTGTACTAAATGAGGAATCTACATGCTATTTTGTTAAAAATTGCAGCGTGGAGCTTTTACCATTCCTTCTGGTGTGACCCTCTGACCCAAAAAAACATTTTCTAGTGTATTGGACCTAGATGGGTTGCTTCTGTTCAGAGGAAAAAAACTATTGAGAAAATTAGGTGCTTCTCCAGTGCAAGTGTGGGTGAATATAATAGGAACAAACAAGAACAGACAGTTTCTATATCAGAAATCTTCTGCCTGTGGAGCTTCCTTTCTGCTCTGCTCATTTTTAGATCTGTGCTACTACTAACATCTCTATCTCAGTCTTCCTCTCACTGGAATAACAGTAGCTAAATCAATGCCCTGAACTATAAGCTTGTCACTAGAAAAAACCCTCAGCTCAAGTAACACAAGATTTGCAGCTGCCTACCAGCCAAAGACACAATTGCTTGTAGGAACCAGAAAACATGCAGTTTTCCGTAACATGTTTTCTGTAACATGTTGAAAACATTCAACAGTTAAACTTATTGAATTTATGAAGTTGCCAAAATCTACTTTTCTTTTTGATATTTGGGCCACAGACACTCTAAAAAGCGAACTGTAAGACTTCAAGAAAAATAAAAGCCAGATTTTCATTCAAAACATTCCACCACTGTTGGATGTGATTTTTTTTTTTTTCAGTTTCTGTGGACAGTATAACTATAAAGCATGTGGAAGTATGGGAACTTCTTGCACTTCCTTCTCATGCCCTCCCCCCCTCCTTTTTTTTTAAAGAAATGTAGATTTATTTTCATTGCATTTTAATATGATAGGTACCAGTATGTTGCTATAAAGCTTCTTCATTTCATCACATCTTTTTGACAGCTGGGATAGATCCCCTTCATATTTCTGAATTAAATCCTGTAATACAATAAAACTTCTTAATTTGGTATAGCAGCATAATATTAAAGCAGGAATTAAACAGCAGTGAAAACAAGATAATTCAAGTCAAAATTTTCATGTCACAAAAATTTCACATTTCAAAAAAGATAAGCATACATCAAGCTCACACATTTCCTTGCAAATATTAAGACATCAAAGACAAAAAAAAAGAAACATCAATGTTAGAGAATTTTTTACTGTATCATCCAATGACACTACCTAAATTTATTAAAATTGGCAGAACTAGATAAGCATCATAAGGTCCTAATTTCCACTCACATTTGACGTATACTAGCCTTTTTGCATGTGAAGCAAACACCCCCAGTTGCTAGTTCTTAAGGAGGCAGAAACAGAGCCTCAGAAACTTAACTTTCGAAATCAAATTTCTTAACCATGGTTCTTTTGACGTATGCATTGAGCAGATGCCAACACCACCCAGTGAAGCACAGCACAAAGATACCCACGACAGCAGAGATGAACACGTCCACACCACAGAGTGGGGAATGCCTTCGCTGGAAGTAGTCCTGTTCGCAACTAGCGCAACAGTGCTCTTGAGAGTTCGTTAACTTCTCTGTACGTGAGCTAATAAGTGCTGTGTTTGGCTCTGCTGACTCCTGGCCAGACCTGGGCTCCCTACAGACCACTTGGACGCCTCTCTGTTGGGTCCCCCAACCCAGCTTGTTCTGCCACTAGCATGGGCAGAATCATCTTAGGTCAACCTATACTTACAATTTAGGCATGCCCTCGGATGATGTTTCTTGGACGGTCTCTTTTCCCAAGTAATAAGCGATAGCACAAGAGGAAATGGCCTCCAGTTGCACCAGCGGAAGTTTAGATTGGATATTAGGAAAAAATTCTTCACTGAAAGGATTATCAGGCATTAGAAGGGGCTGCCCAGGGAAGTGGTTGAGTCACCATCCCTGGAGGTATTTAAAAGACACGTAGACGTGGCACTTAGGGACGTGGTTTAGTGGTGGATTTGGCAGTGTTAGGTTTATGGTTAGACTCGATGATATTAAAGGTCTTTTCCAACCTAAATGATTCTGTGATTCTCTAGGCTATTTTCCCTTCTGTCTGAGGGCAGAGGAAATTAATACAAATTCATATAAGCTCTAAAATTGCTATTATTCCAAAGTGTTTATTGTGGGCAGCCACGGGGCTGACCTGTTCCTCATCCACTCCAGCCCATTTGCCTGTGAAGCAAAAGCAGGAGATGCAGAAACTCTGAAAAGCATTTCTCATTCTGCAGCTTGTAGTATGAGACACTATCAGAGGGGAATAAAAGGCCACTTTCCCTCAAATGCTCCTGACTCCCTTCTCAGGGCAGGTGTCAGCACAAACGAAGCAGATTACTCATCCTTTACCTCCAGCCCACAATAAGGTTGTGGTAAAGTTACCTTTAGTTCTTTGCAGAACTGTGACTCCTGGGGTGTTGCCTTGATTGTCTTGGGTTTAATAAGCCGCCTGCACTGAATAACGTTTTCCAATTCTTTTTTTAAAACTAACAAAAGAGAAAGAAAATGAGAAATTTTACTAGCATGCAGTTGCGTCCAAAGGACCGCAAATGTCTAATTTAGGACACATGGAAAATTTAGGAGAATATGGGTCTATAATACATTCATCTAGGAACATTAACTTTCTGTTTTGAAATAGAAATCCTGAAAGAGGCATGGGTCTTATGGAAAAAAATATTATGTGATCATATCACAGCAACTGCAGAATAAATGAAGAGGTCGATAGTATGGTTATGCAGCAGCCGTAAATCTGACCTTTTCTAGCTTTGAGCATTGGGATTAGCAATGAAAATAACATTCTTCAAACCTACATTTTTGTGTAGAAAGTTCAGGGTTCCTTTAAAGATGAAAGAACAAAAATTCTACTCTATGTAACAGTAAGACATCTTGTCAGTTGACACTAAGCACTACATCATACTGCTACCATGGGAGCTCTCACGGTGTGAAACGTGGGGAAAAGAGGATACAGGCTTGGCTCCAAGAGCTTGGTCCTGAACTGACCCAGGCTGCAGTCTAGTATCTTCCTCCCCCTGTGCTCATGCAATACTTGCACCAGATGAGCCCCAGGATGTGCCTCGAACTATGTGGTGAGAAAGGCTGCTTCAGTGGCATTTGGTCCATTTCTTTTCCTCTCTGCACTGGTGAATGGGACTCAGCAGATAAGAGCCTATGCTGGGCCCATCAGGAATCCATAGAGGGAAGAGGCCAGTCAATCTCCTCCAGTTCCCATGATTCACCTCCTTTGACAGCTCCCAACAGTTTCTGGTACCATGTCCGTTGTACCACTTTACCCATGACTTTCCAAAACTGTCTTTAAAATATTTAGTGATTTTGTACCAACATTGTCCCCAAAGGAACACAAGTGACTGAAGGGAAATAGTGTTATTTTTACTTACTTATGTCTCCTAAAAAGTTGATTGGAATTTCTTGGAACAGAATAAAAACACACTTTAGTAGCCTCAAGCTATGTGCCTGTCTGACTCCCAAAGCCCAGCAGAATAGGCGCAAGGGTTTTTCAAACTGAAAGCTGAGAGCGACTATCATTCAGGTATGTTATCAAAGGCTGAACAAGGATATATTGGTCTGTAGTTACAGTCAACAACCATGCCACATTTTCAAAATATAGATTTTTATAAACTTTCAACATAATACAAGTCTTTTTCATCCACTCATACACCTTCTCTAACAAACAACTCTCAAAGGGCTCAATCTGAAATCCATTGAATTCACCGGTCACCTTATGATACTGTTCAGTGGTAAATTGTAAATGTCTCCCAAAATCTATCTTGCATTCGAACAACCTTATTCTGTTCCCTCCTGTTGACTTCACTAGTGTTGGACTCCCTTCTAGAGAAGACACCAGTTCAGTTCAAAGAAGTTCTTGAACTTCAGGACTGAACTGTAGGAAGTTTTCTCCTGCTGCCTTGCCTGCTCCCAGAGACTCTGCTACAGCGGTAACTTTGACAGAGCACTTGTATCACTTAGCATTTGTAGTTTATGATAAACTCTATCTACCATGGGCAGTATATTTTTTATATTTCTAAGCCACCTGGACATACTTTAATATTTCTTTTTTTTACATTCTTCACAGTAACTTGGCAGGTTAAGTATCACCATGGCAACGCTTTACCTTAATGTTTTGAACCTTTACCTCTCTTTATAAACTAGAGAAGTGCAATGAAAACCTGTTCCAGATGACTGCACAATGTATGAAAATCATTCTCTGAATTTAGAAACCACATTTACATACCATCAACTTCAGCACTGAGGCCCTTCATGGAAGCTGGAAAGGAAGAGAGAGGGGAAAAACATGCTAATAAGTATCATTCATATTGTGAGGATGGGAGTTTCCACAGAAGTTGAAGGACTTCATTTTTTATTTGTTGATTTTTTTTCCCCTCCCTCCTCTTACCATCAGGAACAGCTTCAAATTCTGTCAACTCCTGAGAAAATTTGGCCAGATCAGGCTCATGTAAGAAGATCTGTTCCACAAGGGCATGAAGCAAGGTGAATGTCCTCTCTTTACCCCGCAACAGAGGTAACTGCAAATAGAATAGAGCAATAATTGACAGACTGAGCTATTATACTTAAAAAAAAAAGAAAAAAAAAGAAAAAAAAAGGAACAGCAGGGATGTTGATAGCTTCCAGGTAAATTTGACAAGAATAGAAAACACAATGAAATTAAACTTCTCCTTTTCAATCTGCCATTTCACAGACATTCTTGATTAAGATCAGCTTCACACTTTCATATCCGTTGACCTTCCTTGTTCTTTTGTGTCTCCTTATTCACATGGGTCTCTTTCAACTTAAGCTATCCTAATTGATTGCAACTGATTTTGGACCTCCAAACACAGCCATTATTCCTTTCCACTTAAAAGCAGCGTGCTGTGTTCATGAAGACAGCAAAGTTCCTTAATTGAATCTGGGAAGATGCTCTGTGGCAGAAAATAATTTTGTAGGCATTTTTCATTATGATAGATGTGGTATTATAGCCATTACATATTAAAAAAAAAAAAAAAAAAAGAATGCAAGTTGCATCTCAGAATTGTCACTAGAGTTATAAATCACTCACTCATATATTAAAGTCTCCAGATGGGAAAGATACCTTACAAAAACAAAATAAAAATCCGTCTCTCTTCTATTTACAGATCAGGCATAATCTTACAATGGTGTTAAAGGTACAAGGCAACTTAGGAAATTCGTATCTCTCTCCTACTTTTTAGGATAAAAATATGATGCTCTGTCACTATTGGGTGGAGGAGGGGAAAAAAACCCGGTGCTCAGGAGCAACATTTTCTGATGGAAAATTCTGATGAAGAGGGGAAAGCAGTTTCCTTAAAACCAATGGAAAACCCAGCCTAATGTCATGCAAGTGGTAGGTCAGTGAAGAGACAATTAGAGAACTAAGAGGTAGATGATGCTTCTTGTAGAGCAGATCTCTGCCAGGAAACAGTAAAGATCACAGCTGCCACTTTTGTCCCCTATTCAATCATCCAGTGGAGAAGGGGGAAGGGGGGGGTAAAACCATTGCAGTTAAATTTCGGTCCTTTTCAATTTATTAATTCATTTATATTCTACTTTTGAATGTTTACCTTAAAATGACATTGTACCACTTAAAAGACCTTTGCATTGCAGTAAAATGAAGCACTAAGAAATTACTCCAGTGTCATAAAAGTGCAGCTACCACGGAAGAAATGCTGTAGTTACAGCCTCTGGCCACAGTGAAATGAAGAGGTCCATACAACAGTGGTCTGCACAAAACTGCAAAATACGATTTGTCTAAACTTGCATCTAACCAGGGACCTGCAGCTCAGATGCCTCTTCTAGCCAGGGGATCTTAACATCAGGGCAGTCAGCATTTTGATGTTCTACCTCATTAGAAACACAGTGTGTTCAACACCACAATGCCCCCATCTAGCCAGTGCTGCTGTCTGAAATGGGGAAATGCATCTTGTTATAACACACATTAAAGAACACATTGTTAAACAGGATTTTGTTTCTAGTGTAACCAAGAGCAGATGTTAAAATGTTAGCTACTCATTAAAAATGATTGCCTTTCCCCACATTCAGGGCAAAACTGAGTTAATATTAATGGCTAACATACCTTATAATATGATGATTTTAATGGCAAGAAGAATATTTACTCACTTTGGTCAAAGACGACAATCGAAATCCTTTAGCCTTCTCTTTTCCAGCGTTTTCATTTAAATGGTTCCCAATGGCTAAAATGTACTCCAAGACAGCGACAAATTTCTGGCTGGATTGCAGCTGCTTACTCGCTTGGATTTTCTGGTTTATTAGCTGAAACACACAAATCTTCCTTCAGTTCAAATTGAAAATGTGAGTAAATCAATGGCGCCTATATCTTCCAAAAGCCTCATTGTCCCCACCTGAAGCAAGCCACACTTTAGCTGAGGGATACCTTCCTATTCAACTTCCCTGGGGGAACAGGCCAGAGTTTTTCAGGAAGGACCAGTTAAAAGTCTCCCACCAAGACAAAGCTAGCGTTGGCACAGTTACCCTGTCCCCAGTGGAGGTCACATCCTTTCTGGCTGCCAAACTGGCCCTGCCAAAACAACTTCAACCTCATCTCTTAAAAATGCTTCTGGAGAAAAAGTATTTTGCTGTTTGAATGCACCAGATTGCACCAAATGTCAGGCATCAGGGGAAGCAGATAGCCTGAAGCGCAGTATAAGGTTCTCCATCCTTCACCTCCCTCCCTTCTGTTTATACCAGCTGAAGACTCTTATCTTATCAAAATTCTTAGCACAGTTTCCCCACAAGGAAGAAGAATAATTTCCTGTAATCAAACTCAGTATCAATTTCTGTTTTCCCGGGAAGCCACCTCCCTTCTAGGGCTATAGATACAAGAGGTGGTTTTATTTTAAATTAGGAAATATATATTTTTTTAGCACCACACCTCTCTTCATCAGTCACCAACACACAAATTTAAAAACAGAGAAAGGATGAAACACACAGGAGAGCTGAAAGCCATTGTTAAAACATTTATAGCACACCACAGGGCCAGAGGGTGCTGAAAGCCAATATTAAGATTGTTCCATAGAATTTTAGGTGTATAATCTATGGTTTACAAACGTGTTAGCGTACATAAGAAAGAAAATACTTGGACAACTAATCAGCTCCTCAATGAACATTAAATATCCTTCAAAGCTAACAGTATATATAATAGCTTCCAAATATTCAAATATTTGGTTTCAGTGGAGGACAGCAAAGGTGAAACATTGTACCAGGCAGGGTCAGAAATCTCTGCATCTCCCCAGTGTGTTCCATCTGTTCCTCTTCTGAGTTTCGTTCGCTGTTACTATGGTTTTAATCACAGCCAAAGGATAACAACTCAGACTTGCAGAACTTTCAAATTTTGTTTTCATTCCCATGCATAATGAAAGCAAAACCTTTGAAACTTTTTCATAGAAACAGAATCATGTTGAAATACTTTGTTTTGAATCAAAGCATATACAAACCCTGGCAGGTAAGGCAGCAGTTTGGAACAGGAAGATGCAACATTTCAATTCAGTGCTATAATACTTAGGGTGAAGAGCTTCCTTCAGTCTTCTGAAAATAGTACATGTTTATGAGATGCTGGTCAAATAAACTTGCTCTAAGTATCTATGACTTTAGATCGATTCTTTCAGCTTGTGGGGCAAGAACCTCCCCACAAAAGGAATTGGATTTTAATGGTGAAATTTGCTTCTGTCTTATCACTGGCCAAAGAAGAAAGTTTAACAATGCCAAATAAAAATTTGAAAATCCTTTCCTGTTCTTTTCTTCCTCCTTTGTGGATGTCTATTCCACTGCCAGGCCCATTAGCAACTGCTTCATGAACCTTAGTGGGATAAGGATGATATTAATGATATTAAATGTACATACAGGTATATACATGCATATCATAGCCCTCATTTTTCTCTTTTTTTTTTTTTTTTTTTACTGTGTTTTGTTTTGAACCAGTACTGTGGAATACTTGGATTAACAAAACATTCCAAGTGCATTCCAAGTGCACCAGCTGATAGTGCCACTGTATTTCAAATTTAGCCTGTCTCTAATAGTTTCACATCATTTACAATTCCTTGGCTATCAATGTCATGACCCATAGAGATTTTTTTAAATTTTCCTAACCTTTTTGCTTGTTACTTTTGAACAGTGCCATGAAATGTTTCTTTATACACTAGGCTGCCTGGATTATTACACTATGAATTGCTCACATTATGGACTGTGAGATATTTTGCTATAGGGGAAAAAAAAAAAAAAAGGAAAAAAAACAGAACAAAACCTCCATAACTACAGCACTTTGAAATGCATTGAGGTCACTTGGCCCTCTACTATCTAACTGGTAGATTTTGACTGCAAATGCACTACGAAGGAGTCATGTTACTTACAGGCTCCAAATCTCTCATGCTCACAGGGAGCTCACGTATGGTAAGCAGGAGGTCCAGCCTCTGGCCTAGGTGGGGGATTTTACACATCTGCATAGAATTGAACAGAATAGGAATCAAACCCCATGCACATATATCTTTCATAATTTATTGAGTAATTCAGCTGCATGACAGTTTTCCTAATTTCTGTGCTCATTTATTAATTTTATTCTAGGCCTTAAGTCTGTAGATATACTATGGCAAATAGAAAAATCACATACCTGAACATGCGTCATTTGCATATGCAAATTCAAGAAAACACTATGCTAGTAGGACCACACACTATTAAAATCAGTGACATTCATTTCTTGTGAACGAGCATAGTTAAATGCATATAATTTTAGGCTTAAAGATTGTGGAAATCTAACTCAGAATAAATCAGCTCCTACTTTGGAGGAAGGGGAGGCTGTGTGACATGGAGAAGCAAAGGGATCCATATGGTTCTCTTCAAAATATCTACCTGTCTCAACTCTTTATCAGATAAATTGTCTTACACTGATCCTGGCTGAGATTGTAATATAAGTTTCAAACAACAGCTTCTTGTAGTGGTTTTATCTAGAAGCGAGTGTGGTAGAAATAGCATATGGTGTCTTTTAATACCTTCTTACCTCTAACATAAATTGATCAACCACATGCAGGTCTGAAGGAGACCCCTTGAATGACTGGTACCTTTCTGCATCTTTTGGTGTTGGCATGTATCTGCAAAACAGCAAATGAAAATTAGATGTCCTTTTTCCTCTTCATTCTATATTGTTGTAACATAAAACAATCCCTCCATTGCATGCATCAGAATTTCTTACTGTTTAGTGTGGTTTCTGTAAACCACATATTTACTCTTTAACAACTGGAACTTTATAGACATTCGAGGCAACTACGCGATGGAAGGCAAAAATGATCTGCAGATACATTGGATGAACATTCCAAAAGCACCTAGAAACAATATACACTTTTTGAGCAGTTATGGCCATGCTGGCTCAGCTTGTCTCCAGCAATATCTTCTTCAAAAAATGAGCACAAAAGCAGAGCAGATTCATGCTATGGTGTGATTAACCTGTGGGCCCTATGGTCTGACTGACTCCTACCTCTAAAGCTTTTTTAATTGCTGATGAAACAGAAGTGGGCAATGGTGTTTCTGTCTCTCTAAGCACTGCATCACATGCAAGATCCATTTCTCATTTTTGTTTGGATAGCACATAACACAGACCTGCAACTTTTATCCTTCTGCGTAAGGCAACAGAATGTTCTCCCACAGTACTCCAGAGCTGCAGATTTTTAGAAAACTGACATCTTTAAACATGCCTCCACTTGGAAAAATAAACTCACACCACCACAGTTCCCCTCCTTTGGAGATCTTCCTGCCTGTCTGACTGATACACTATGGGAATTCGTAGCATATCTTAAAGAAGAAAAATGAAATCGATGTTATAGCTAACATATGAGAAGGAGTGTTAAGAATCTTAAATAAGTATTCAGGTCTACTATCTTCTCTTCTTTCTTTGCAAACAACCTACTAAATTTGTAGCAAGTATGATTAAACATTCATGGGGATAAATATAAGTTTTCATTAAAAGTAAGGAAATTTATTCAAAGACGGAAAAAATAAAGCAAAGATTTTACCACGTTAAATAGAGGACATACAATAAGATTTTTTTTTACTGTTGTCAATAATTTAATATGACACTTCAATTGAATAATTGCCGTGTTTTGAATTATTTAATCTATATTAAAGGAGATTACAAAATATTCCATTCATCACACTTCATCATCAAGAAAAAAATGAATTCTCATTTAAAAATAACAGTTATCTTGGCAAATGAAAGCTTTTTTATTTATCATTAAAAATAGTTTAACTTTTTAAGCAAATTCAAAGAACATTTTTGTTAAAGCTGACAGCAAATATCTTCATTTAATCAGAAGTCTGATATTCCATGTATTATATATATATATGAAATGAAACTAACAGATTATCTAGAAGGTTTAACACTTAAAGCACTAAACAATGGAAGCCATGGAAAAGGAAGCACAAGAATATGTGAATGCATTCCATAAATATCTTTTTATGTGAATGCAACTCTAAAGGATTTTGTGCAATGAAAATTCTCACACTGTTATGAAACATTAAGTTTATAGAGACAAAGAGTGCTTCGCTATTGATTTTAAGATGTCAGGATATAGAATCATTCAGAGAACTATGGAAAGGTTTCCGTATCAAAATAAGCCCTGAAGTTTCTAACAACATTCCACCACCTCCACTAACCTTCACTGGATACATGAGCAGAACATTTTACTCACTGGTCACCATCTTGAAAATGTAGCCTTGGTTTTGGCTTTAAATATTTTTCATTTTACAGTAGTAGAATTTAGACCTCCTGCTCAAGCTTAGACAATATGACAGGTATAATTTGCACAGAGATTAGTTTTCCAGTCCCTGACTATCCTGTTTAAACTCCTGTCATAACCACAGGTTCTCAATTAACTGGAGGCCACAGCTTTCAATGGTAAAATTTTCCACCACAGCACCTAAATCAAGTGAAAGGTCTTCAAAAGTGCTAAGTGTCCTGCTACTTGTATCATGCCAACTCCACTACAGTCCATTGTACAAGAGAAACTTCTGAGTGCCAATGTTTCAATATAAGCGTCTGCCCCTTCAATGAGGTGTGTGAATGGGAGCTGTAAAACACTGAACTGCCTTGGAAATCCAACCCTCAATTCTGCAAAGCATCTCATCTATTTCAGTAACATTTTTAAAATTGTTGGGGTGGGAAAAATAAGCTTCCTTTTACTACAAGATTTGTACATGCATTCCTAGATTTTGGCAATAAATAAAAATCCAAGGAACAGAATCCTTGATCCTATATAGCACATAGCAATGCAGCATCCAATCTCTCTTACACATTCCATTACTAGAAAAATTTCCTCAGCATTACTGCTATCAAAGGAAGACTCTGAAATCTTCAAGGAAAAAAATAAAACCTTTCAAGCTTCATTGCCATCATTATTATTACTATTATTGTCTGATGGCAAAGAGCCCAGATGCTATAAATCAGTGATCTCAGTGATGTTACACTAATTTCAACAGCATGGGGATCCTGGACTGAGTCTGCTGTGCTGTATTAGAGCTTGAACAACAGAGCGTGTTCAGTGTTTTCCTTCAAACAGAGATGTGAGCAAAGGCTGCCTTCGTAAATGGGGATGGCCAGACCCCAAGCATTCTGCTGTGCTGCAGGACTGGAGACATTTCCTCACTTCTGCCAGCTCCAACCATTAGTTTCCCCAGAGACGGCCACGTGTGTAGCTGGAGAGTACTCTCAATGTCCAAGATATTTCACTGCAACTATCTCCTGACCAATTCCACCACTGCAATTAGAAACTGCAGTACTGTAGTAAGATCTTTCTTTTTTGAATGAAGCCTTTAAGGTCAGCTTTTGAAAGGCAACGGAGCTCCATTACCTTCACCAGCTCATAAGCTGCTGTGCACCAGTGTGGGGTATAACTGGTAAAGCACTGGGGCAGCACAGACACTTCCTCGAGAACACTGGTACATTTAGTCCAGCTCTGGAGTCCTCAGCATGGGAAAGACACGGACCTGTTGCAGTGGGTCCAGAGGAGGGCTGCAAAAATGATCAGAGGGCTGGAGCACCTCTCCTATGAGGAAAGGCTGAGAGAGTTGGGGTTGTTCAGCCTGGAGAAGAGAAGGCTCCAGGGAGACCTTCTAGCAGCCTTCCAGTGCCTAAAGGAGGCTTATAAGATGGGGACACGCTTTTTAGTAGGGCACGTTGCGATAGGACAAGGGGTAATGGTTTTAAATTAAAAGAGGGTAGATTCAGGCTAGATCTAAGGAAGAAATTTTTTATGATGAGGGTGGTGACACAGTGGTACAGGTTTCCCAGAGAGGTGGTAGATGCCCCATCCCTGGAAACACTCAGGGTCAGGTTGGACGGGGCTCTGAGCAACCTGATCTAGTGGAAGATGTCCCTGCACATTGCAGGGGGTTGGAACTAGAGGACCTTTGGAGGTCCCTTCCAACCCAAACCATTCTATGATTCTACAACTCTAAAACATTTAAATATTCAGTCTCTTCTCCATATCCCTTCGTACCTCAGGCAAGCTTTGTACAAGCAATCTCACATAATGACAACAATTCCATACGTTACCTGTCTGTTCTTCCTGTTCACATCACTTTCTAAGTACAGGCATGATTCTGCAGAATTTAAAATAACTGTTGAGGTACTGATTAGGATCAGGATTTTCAGGCCAGAGTTAAACTCATTCTACAAGAAGTACACACATTGGCAGCAAAATCGATTATTTACTTCCTCACTTCCTTTGCCAGCATCATCTTTTTCCAACCTCACTCTAGCAAAAAACTCAAATGTTTTCTCATTTTGAAGCAAGAAACAATTTCACATCAAATTTTCATACGAATGTGTGTAATGAAATGGCACAGTTATCACGTGGGGATTGGGAATTATAACAGACACTGCTTTAGGATCTCACTGCTTTCCTTTCTTGCTATGTCTTAAACGATTCAAAGAGATACAATCCAGTTCCTACAAATTTCACATGCCAATAGTTTGCTTACACTCCTGAAATCTATTTCTCTCCATATAGCAATTCAATTTCTTTAAAGATACCAAAATCTGCATTCTGCTGTAAACCCACAAATCTCTGCCATTCAGAAATACTGATAATATCCCATCATCCCATGAAGGTCCTTTAACACTTGTCTGGCTTCCTCCTCTCCAAACCAATTTTAAATAGGGAACAGGATTCCTTTTGTTTCTTTCATTTCTGATCCCACAATAGACAGTAAGGCTGTAGTAAGAGATGTTGTAAAGTTTTCTCATCAAGTTACTTCTGCTCACTGCCATAACTTATTCTTTTACTAACTCTGCTCCTTGTAACCAGTTCACAAAATGTCAGATTTGCTGTCGCTTCTTGCAATCCTCTTTCCTACACAACACGGGGAAAAATGATATTTTGGGGACGTACTCTAAAATTTCAGTTGCAAGGACTGGGATATCTATGTGCAACCCTAATATTCTATTCACAGTCAGGGTAGATCGAATGTCTCAGTAGCATCTTTCCTGAATTTCGCATTCTTTACAGAAGATTATGCCTTCTCCAAAAGGTAGCATATATTATAAACAAATAATTGAACCCCAAAGATTACCTTCTTAGTGCTGTAATCTGTTCATCTGTAAGTCCACCACTCTCTTCATGTATAATATACAGTTTTTCTTTCAGGTCGCTTGGTTTTATACGGAAACTTTTAAGAAAAATATCTGGAGGAAAATTATTCTTAGATTACTTGGAAGAAAATGCTTAAGGGAAAGAAAATCACCAAAACATTTCATATTTACTTTCCAGATTTAAAAAAAAAAAAGGAAAAAAAAGGAAGGAAAAAAAAAAAAGAAAAAACAAAAATACTTAGTAGCTGCTAATGCTAAGGCAAAAACTCAGTCTTTGTATTTTCTTTAAATATACATAGCAGTAGTCAAGCAAAAGTATATTTCTGTCAGAACGCAGTCAATGCTTAAGAGAGAACTATCAAGATACTGCTATCAGAAGGTACTCGAGTAATTGCTCATATATATTGCTCTTGTACTCAGCTCAACAGTCAAAATGTTTTTTTCCAAATAACAGTACAATGTATTGGCATATTATAATATTTTGAAGGTTAAAGAAATTAAATTTTCCATTTGTTTTGATTTTGTTTACTTGTTTTGTTTAATTTCCAGGGTTCGAAAGAAGGTAGTTAGTGTCTATGCAAGAAAAAATTACTCCCAAAATGAAGGCAACCTGGGAAACAGAAGTGCTTACTTCTTCCACACTGCCTGATCTTCTAAAATCTGATTAAGAGTTTTTGTAACGTCTAAGACTTCAGTGCTGACATGGGGCAGACTTATAATACGTGTTATGGTAGGAAAATGGAAATAAGACATCTCTTCCCCAAACAGGTGAAGAACTATTTGTAAGGTTGTTGCTCCCAAAAAGACTAATTTGTCTTGCCGGTTATTCTTTAGTTACTGCCTGTCTCCATCATTGTTACCAAAGGATGAAGGTAAAAAAAGAAGCACAAGGAAGCGAACAGAGGGCAAAAAGGTTTAAATGATTCTCAGTATTGGCATGAAACTTGTCCTAGAGTCTCTGCTATGACAGAACTCCTCTGAGCAGCACAAGGGGATTGGGAAGAATTCAGAAAGGATGTGTATGATTTACCTTTTTTTCTCTCTCCAATTCTAAAAAGGAACAGAGTTTTTCAGGTTATAGGAACTTGCTGTGGCCCAAATCAGCTATTAATGGTTCTCAGGGGACTGTTGGCCAATGGAGCATATACCATTTATTCTTCCTCTGACACACTTTCCACGCTTTTAATTTTGTTATAAGATCTAGCTTTAGTGTTAAGCCTGGCAGAATCTTCCCTTTTCCTTCTTACGCTTTTTATGCCTTATATCTTTTGCTTCCCTATGCCTTTTAAACCATGTATCTCTTAAGGTGGGGTGATGTCTACAGACTGTAACAGAGTGAACAACTCATAGTAAAATGTTGATTTTAAAATTTTCACAACTTGTCTACAAAACATTTAATATTTTCTTGAACATTTTCAGTAGCTGAAATTAGCCTCTGAATGAATTCTAGTCATCAGACTTTGCCAAAGTATTTTCCTAGGCAAAATAAGGACTGTATATATGGGAAACTGGTCTCATACAGAGAAACAGAAACCAGTTAAGTTACAGAAGCTGGTACTTTGACTCTTAAGTCAGTTTTTCACCTACTAGATCCCATATTCCTGGATTAACATACACATTATTTTAGTGTCTCCCAAAACTTTTTCATTGGAAATCTGAGGATATTTTTCTTGTCTCTCTGATACCTGTTCTCTGTATAGCAGAAATTTGTTTTGCCTACAAGAAGCCACTAGATAACTTGGCTTTTATTTGCATTTTCTCATATATTGGGCTTGAATTTAGTGTGTAGATCTTCTCTCAGATCTCTCATTTTTCTCTTGTGTTCAGAAACCCGCTCAAATTCTTAAGAAATTTTAACCTACTGGTGTTTTGGAGCTTCATCTTTTTATTCATTAATTTAAGAACTGTGGTTTGCAGCACTTGCAGGAAGATTAATCAGAATTCTCAGGATCAAATTAACTTTTGATCTAAGTAATGTCTGTTATAATAAGTATATGCCAAAAATCTCACTGAGGGGACTTTAAGGATAAGATTAAGAAATGGATGTAGAATGTCTCAATGAAAAAAGTTGTAAGAGGAGTAAGATCAAAAGGAAGAATGGTGCTATTTGCAAACCAAAAAACCCCAAATTTTCTCAAAGAAACTGCAATAATTTAGTTGATAAAAGTGCTGTTACAGGATTCTTTTTATCTGCAACAGCACTCTTGTGTCACTCACTTCCTTTTAACCCTTCAAATTGTTAGTCAATGGATGCAATAATTCCAACAAGTTATCTCCATTTACAGTTCCCAATTAAAACTTTACACAATCTCCAAAGTATATTCTTTCTTATCAATATACATAAAGATGAAATCATTAAAACTTCAGAATTAACCACCCCAAATTCTTTACACATGTAACATTTCTTAAAACACTGCTAGGTTATAGAACTTTTTTGGAAAGCCATTTCTGTAATAGAAATCAGAGTAGTCTTTGAAGAACAATTACTCTTGCTCCTTTAATATCTACCTCTTCTTGTCAAAGTAATTGAAAGACTTTTACATTATTTTATTAGTAAGACCCGAACTATGTGTTGAACTGCTTCATTATCTGTGAAAGACTGCTCTAGGTCAGGCCTTTGGCAGAATCGTACCTGGGATATGAGAGGGAAGCATCCTGTTCATGATAATTCAAGACAGCTCTTCACAGTCTAAGCTATTGGCCAGAGAAAGGCCAAAAGAGTTCCTGTGACCTGGCTTGTAGCTATCTCAAAGGCTTCTTACACCAACCCATCTACACCTACCTGAATATTCTTGAACTCAATGTAGGAGAGAGACTGAGCACAGTACTCAGAGTGCTAGCTACCAAGCTGTTTCTGTTGATTTCTTTTACCTGGCCAGCCCACAAAATTTGAAAAGTCTTTGAAGTTGGAGTTTTAACATTGATTTCACAGGCATCATACATGATTCTACATGTCTGCCCTAAGACAACAGCAACACAGCTCGATGGCACATCCACGTGTTTTGTACAAGAGGAGGAGAAGCTTGGTGCTTCTACTCTACATCATTAACGACCACATTTAGAGCAACTGAGTCATCTGGTATTTTTTTATAAATGAGTAGAGGGGCACTGAATTAAAAGTTGATTTAGACACAAGCTTGTCTCCGCCTATTGAATGGCAGAAAGTACAAGTAGAAAATGCATGCAGTGCTCACCCCAGGCTTCTGGATAGGAGTACACAGTTCTTATTAATACACTTACTGAAGTTATGTGCAACTTTTCGATCTAACATGATGTGTTGATTCACTGAAGCTTCATTGCCTGAAAATACTGCCATGTCCTGGATCTGGAACTGATCACAGAGTCTGGATACATCTATTTTTTTCTTGCATGGGTCACATGATCCCCAGACAGATTTTGGAATCTAAAAAATAAAGGAGCGACAGGGTAAACAAAAAGCCAAAAGAACAGAGCCACTTTAATGCATCTAAACATACAGAAGGGCATCCAGGTTGTTTTGTGGCCCAGCTGTACTTTCATGATAACTAAACATGTAATACAGGCTACAATATTTTTTTTCCTTTAACAGCTACCATCACTTTCATCCTCACCTTATCGCAAGGAACAACATCCCAGTGAAAGGCTTTGGTTCTCTTTGTCAATGAAGGGAGGCTGCAGGGCTGCGGGACCGCAGGTGGGGCTGGTGGTACCTCTGCCTTACTTATGGGAAGCGGAAGAGATGGTGATGCTGGAGCTGCTTCCCCCTCTGCAGGCTTTGTCTGGGGGCTTGAAGACTTGTTCAGACTGGTTGCTGCAGAACTCCCACCAAAGTGGAGGGCCTTCTCTTTCTGTTCATTCAGAGGTACAGTAAAATCCTCATAATCCCCTTCGGAGGAGATGCATCCTTGAGATCCCTCCTGAGGCAGTGAGGCATCCTTGCAGAGTGGACAGTACCTTTCTATGAGAGACACCCATTCATTCTGGAGCTTGCTAACATCCTCTGTCCTGTTATTTTGGACAGTAAAGGGTATTCGAAACCTGAAATTTAAGAATGTCATATATAAACGCAAGGAAGTGTAAATAACATGCTGACTAATACAGCCACAGATATTTCTTATTTGAGCAGAATGATGTTCAGCAGCTTTACTTGTCAAAGGAGCCCAGTGCTGCTGACTCTGACCTTTTCAGACAGTTAATTGCTTACATGTCTAAGGTTAGAGAGCTGAAGGTTTGCCATATATTGACTTTGTGGAGCAGTTACCTCGTAATTCCTCTTCTCCACCTTGGGGGAAGGTGAACAACGTGCTACATCTTACCGTGCTTGTTGCAGAAGCTAGTCAGAACCTGTTCACACATCTGTCCTATCAAGCTGAATGATACATCTTTTCCCTGGCTCCTGACATGACAACTAGACGAGTCTTTGTGGGCAGTATTTCAATGTATCTTCTCAATTCCACAATGTGGTACTTTTGATTCCTCCTTAAAATACTCATCAAATTCCTGCATAGCAACAGGAGGGGTTATCTGTATAATTCTGACAGCCTCATTTCTCCACAGTTGTATTTTGTTGCAAGACATTGAGATTCTCTGTTGCTTGACCTTGTTTTCAGTTGTTCTGCTTTAACAAATTATTAATTACCAACTATACTTACAAATAATTGTGTTCTTTGGTCTGGACTGAAAAGGTACTGCATCCATTCTCCTTGCTGACACTCACATTACCGCTTGACAAATTAATTGTATTTGTTATAGGGTCTGCATTCTTGTTCTGTCCTCCCAGACCTATGCAATATAAAGCCAATTCTCCTTCACGTAGTTGTACCAAGTACCTGAAGGACAAGGAATGGAGATAGAGTTCATTCTTCACTGACTGCTTATTTACACAAGCTTTGCCTTTGTTAAAGCATTTTCTAACGTCAATAAGTCTCCACATTTTTATAGCATCTTCCATGGGACAGTCCAAAAGTATCAATACTAAAGCATAAAACCTTTTAGAGAAGGGCTTCTTATTCTCATCTGACAAGTAAGTAAACTGTGACATAAAATATAAACTTCCAGGCTGTCATGCCTAATGAGAGAGCTAAAACTAAGAAGATCTGACTATCGACTAAAAATCACCCAAGTCCTGTTAATTTGTTAGCCATACTCTGTCCTTCCCACTCCATTTATTGCTCTCATTTGTTTGGGATGGTGGGTCTTTTGGACTATGAGCTTTCAAAGGAATTCACTATGTGACTGAGCAGCACATAATTTGACAAGGCCTCAGAGTTTCTGCGTTTCCCAGGTTTCACTGCCACCAAGTTATAAACAAGTCACCATAATATAAGTTAGTGCCCAACCTTATAGTCCAATAACTCTCCCTCTTGGAAATGCCTCTGCGCATGCTTTTACTCCATGTGGACTGATCCTGGTCCCCCCTCATTCCCACAAGTCACTTGGCAGGAAAACGTCAAAGTATTCTGCTTTCAAGGGCTTCCATCAGAAGTGACTGTGCCAAATTTGGGGTACTACCTATTTAAACGATAAATTAATCCTGGCAGAATTTGCCTGACCATATGCAGCTTCTATTACAGCAGAATCTTCTGCTTCAGTCCCTCCTTTAGGATTCTGCTCTGCTGCTTATAACAAAGGTTCCACATTCAACAACAAGTGGGGTTTTACTGTATGTGGGTTTTATTCTTATTTAAGCATTTGCATTCTCATTTTTCTTGAGGGTTACTACATTTCTTTATCATTCTGACAGTTCTATCAGACCTTTCTCTTCCTCCACTCTCTCCTCAAGTTGTGGCTAGTTGATTAAGGTGTTCTATGAGGAATATAAATAAGTTTAGCTGCTCCAGAAGAATTAAACATGAAATATAAATTGCATCTATTCCCACATAAACAGTCAAAGTGATAAGAATTGTTTAATGGAGCTGGCAGTTATATTGATCTCTCCTTTCTTTAAAGCAGGTACTTACAGTTTAATCGGATCTCCAGATGTTTCCACCATTATTTACTTTGCCAAAAAAACGAGAGGATTAATATCAAGAAGAAAGCAACAAGGGCTTTGCTTCACAAGATAAATAAAAATCAATTTTTGTTTGTTAACAAACTTGTTAAATGTTGCAAGGTAACAAATCCTGGGACACACTTGAGGATAGTGTTTACAAGACATACAGTGGTAGCCTTTTAAAAACAATTAAAATCATTTTCTGTGAACTGTGAAGTCTTTTGAGATAATTGCCCTGTGCAGATAATTACAATGTTAAATTTTTTTTCATTAGTTTTTCCTAGACAGACTTTTTTTTTCTCTCTCCTTTGATAATATAAGCAATTTCCAGCTATTTCAGTAGCTGGCTCAGGGGAAGGGTGGGTTGTCTGTAGGATGGGTAGGAAACTATGTAAAATCATTATGGCTGGTTCACTAGGTCAGTAATAGAATAAGCAGAAGCAGAAGTCATGCTTATCTGTGATGGTTTAGGGGCTGAATGAAGTGGTGATGACAGTCCGTTTCCTACTGAATGATGATTCCTGTCTCTGAAACCACCACCCCATTAGGCCACCATGGTTGGTCACCCCTACAGGAGGGAAGTTAAGAACATTACAAGAATGAATTACGAATTTTGGGGCAGCCATTTGGCCAGTGTGAGTCAATGTTCTCTAGAAGGACTCCTATACTCCTTATCTGCTTTACCAGTCCTTTTCTCCTTTCCCTTATGACTGAAAATAGAGTAAAAAGTAGAGGTAAACATAAAGAAGTCCCACCATTAAAATCACTCTGAGCACCATGACCATTATATATTTGTGTTAGTAATGCACACAGCAGTCTCTAGCGCACACCAGAACTTCATTTTGCTGGGTACCACTATTGCACTAACTGTCAATTTCAATGTTTTCATCTCATGCAGAATGAGCATCTAAGTTTTAACTTTAAAAAACAATTAAATAATTAACTTATTAACAGCAAAATAAAATCTTAAAGTATTTATCAGAAATCTTAAGAAAATCCAGAACCCAGAGGTCTACAAAAGTGCAGTTCGTACTTCACCCATTCAGTGGATGTAAAAGTCTTTTGCTGCAAATCCAGCAGTCCTTCATGTATCACGTCATATTCTGCGGGTCTTCCAGAGCAGGACTCTGCTGGTCTCTTGTACAAATTGCTCTGTATAACTCTGCTCAGAAGGTATGTTATCTATGTAATAAGTGGCAGCAGAGAGAATATATTTTCCATGTTAATTCCCTTGAATAAGACGTTAATAGGTGGATTTTTCAAGTATAAAAATGATAGACAACACTATAAGCAGCAGCCAAATAGGTAAAATAAATTAACATAAAATAAATAGGGTCCTTCTATGATGCTAAACTACTTAACTGCAATTTGGTTTTATGCCCACAGTTCTAAACTTGTCAGTGTAAGAAGAATATAATTTTATACTGGAGAGGTTATTGTAAAACATAATTTTACTTTTTTAATTCATATACAAAGCAATCCAGGACAAAGGTTTTGTTCAGCACAGTTCAAGCCCAAGTAGTACTTGATTGATTTAGCTTGAAATCTCAGTCAAACCCAGCAGAAAAATGAAGACTTGCCTACAGTTGAAAATAGCATGGATTAAGATAGGTGTAAATTTAAAGCACTCTTTTTGTTATACAGGGCCATATTTGAGTGTTCTTATTACAGAATACATGTACCTTTTTGATGTCTTCTGCTATATGTAATCTATTTTGAAAATTAAGCTAATCAACCATGAGGTACTGTTCATCTGGAATAAAAGTTTCTGCATGTGGAGTGAAACATTAATTTTTACGAGGGATGAATCCATCTGCAAAAAGCCCCTTAAAAATGCATCACAGCAGAAGTTTGGAAGCAAAGTCTTCCACGCTTTTTGAGAGTTTGTATCTCAACCTAAACTGTGCAGCTGGCTTCAGCATCTCAGCAGTGGGATGACACAAACTCCAAGATTTGATCACCCCTGAACACACAGGATTTCTGCATTCAGGTGAAAAGCTAGTGCTAATGTCACAACTCGAGTTTCTCAAGTTTCAGTGTAGACTCTAACTACACTAACTACTTGGAATATTTAACTGAACCTACAACTCAAAAGGAGCTGAGACCTCAAAATGAAACAGCTTATACAAAATCTTGCAACACTGAATCATTTAATTAAACAAATATCTGGTTGTACCTAGGCTGTCTTCCTCTGATAATTTTATAATTTCAGTGTATTTTGATGGTAAAAGATGAACTACTAGGTCTTTTTCTTTTCACAGCTTCAGGATGGCCTCATTCATTCTTCTTAAAAGCACGCATTTTAATAAATATCTTATATATAGAAAAAAAAACCTGGTTAGAAAATTTCAATTGATTCAACTGTGCATGTCGTTGGTTTTGTTTGCTTGTTTTAGTACAATCTCAGACTGGTTACATTCAAGGTGTAGTTGAAGAAGTGTATCCACTTTCATATCACGTCTTGAGCTGGCTTTACATCTTCAGTCCTAGTGAACTGTGGCAAAATCCTAAGGCCAAACTTTACCCTGAAGTCATATTCCCTTTGTTCTATGTACAACCATACACAGAATAGACATACCTACTTCTTTGCTTGCACAATGCACAGCATAACAATTCCCATTTATGATTGGGACCTGCTGGGTACTACCATAACATTAGCTGTTATTTATAGCAATCTGTCTATAACATTGTAAAAACTTACCTTCCTTTTATCATCAAGAGACACTGCTTCCAGCTCATAATCTTGTCGCCCATGAAACACAATGCTGAAGCGCCTCCTTTCAGTATCTTCACAGGCTTTGACTTGTGAGAAAGGGAACTGTTTCTTAATAATTCCTTTTTCAATGTTAAAAATGGTCTTTGTGTTGAAATCAATCTGGAATAGAAAGTTCTTCATTACTTGACTCCATCGCTTCTCTTCATTGAAAGACAGCATCCCCAATATTACCATGCAAGGGCATTTAGATAAAGGACCAGCTTAGAATATGTATCTATCTTGCCGATGAATAGAATAAAAAATGACATTTCATCATCAAGATACTGTACTATATTTGTTTTAGTTACAAAACAAACAGATATTCATTGTAACTGCGTTTCCCTATCTCCCTTGATGAATATGCATCAATTTATCACTCTGAAATATTATTTCTTTTTAAATTCTCCTTGTCTCATACAACCCAGTGCAAAAAGTTCCCATTCAGCAGTAGCAGTAGCACAAACTAATGGCATGACCATCTCAGCAGAGATTCAATTACTAACTGGTTCAACCTATGCCCCAGTACTAAAATGAAGTGAAGGTAGTTATTTTTATAACAGCCGCTTCTGTGTCAGGAAAAGAGAATACTATTCAGAGATTACTTTCTGATATAAATGTTACTGTGTTTTGGTTTAGATCTTATCTAACACTGATTTTTTTGTCTCTCTCTATATATGCACACATATATGTGTACATATAGGTGAAGAGAGTGATAATAATAGCCAATAAAGTTATTTTATTGCCATTTCACAGCTATAACAATTTAAAATTGTTTGCTTCAAAATAAGATTATTCTTCTTCCACTGCACAATCTATATTTGCAGTGTTAAAAACTGGTACAGACAGATTCCGGCATCTGTTTGATGTGTCAGTCCCTGCTGAGCAGAAACAGCTTTGTTGATACAACAAGATGTGAATATTATCTGACCACCCAGCTCCAGTGAACATGGCCCACAGAGAAGACAAACTCAGAATAGTCTCAGATCTTGCCTGAGTTAGATATTTACTTTTGGTCATAAATGATTCCTGGCACCTTTCATGCCTATAGTGCAGACCACCCCAACCAAATTCTAACCCCATGGTCTTTCCCTCTGTTCTGTTTAGAGCAGGAAACCTCCAAAGCAGAATCATTCTCATTGTTATCTCTGACTTTTGAAGGCTGCTGGTAACTAGAGAACTGGAATTAAAGTACTTCAGATTCCCAGACTGATAACTTCCACATCTAATATAGCTTTCTCCACTTTTCCATTAGCTTTATGTCTAAACAAATAATCTTTTAATCCCAAAAATGGGTGGATATTGAGGGAAATAAGGAGATTATACTGTCTACAGTTAAGGTGTGGTAAACAAAAAAACAACCTCTAGCATGTATGACTTGGACTTGCTCATTATCAAATGTTGTCCAAACCGCAGGAAAAATTCAGTGAAATCCAGGTTCCTGGAAACAACATGGAACCTTTGTCACTGACTTCATGGGATCAGGAAATGACCATCAGGTGTTATCGACAGAAGTTTGCTTTAATATTGTGCAAGTCAATAAAGCCTTAAGGCTTCATAGTGTCAAAAAAAGAATTCACAGTATAGGTAATCAGATGGAATGCATAGTCTGCCAAATGAACCTTCTGAGTATCCCCAGGAACATTTCTTCCCAAGGTTTTAGAGAATGCAGTTGAAGTGACGTCCTGTCAAAAGGGACAGATATTTAAGTATGTCTACATCACTTGTATGCCTTTACTGTTGCTGACTAATAAGAACCCCTAGGCAGAACCTATTATAATCAATGATTTTTGTGACAAATCATGTTTTTTAGAGGTGAAATAACCTCTTAGATCATCAAGTCCATTCTACAGCCTTCCCAGAGAGTCAGTAGAGGGAGTTTCAGATATTACTGCCAGAATACTTTTGGTGTAATGGGTAGGAAGTTTGTTCAATATCTGATACCTCTCTGATAGCTTAAAAAATATTGTCATTCAGCAACCTATCTCATAACATTTACCAAGCAACCTAAGCATCCTATATTTTTTATATATTGCTTCAAAAGTGAGAATTTTTAAAGTTACCTGCAAAATTCGTTTCTGCCACCGATAGTGTTTGTATTTGTAGATAATGAAGTTAAATTGTGAACTGGTTAGCAAATCCTGTGAATCCTGAAAAACAGAACAGAAATCAGCAATATGCCCAACACAGTGCAAATCCAACCATGTTCTCAGCTGAAATCTCTCTCAGGGAACAGTGTTCAAACAGGGCTGGAGGCTTTGCAGAAGTACTCCGCATGCAGATACATAGAATCATCCTCCTGACCTGATTTTCACAAGCACAAAATATCCACAAGTCCTGCTGAACTAATGAAGGGATCACAGATTGGGGTGGAAGGTGAAAGGGAGAGCAGAAAGCAGGAAGACAGGAAGGAGAAGAGCAGAACCCATGGAACTGTACTAAAAACATTTCAAAACACATGAGAGTACAAGCAGTCTATTAAATGGGCTAAGTGGCAAACAAGAACAATATGTGACTTTAAAGAAAAATATTTACAGACCCTTGAATGCAGTGCAGTAAAATGGAAGATCTTTGTTCCTTGGTATTATATGAGGGTATACAATTTGTTATCTGGTCCCTTACAGTAGCTGTACTGTGTGCATGGAAAATGACTAATTTTATAATCTTCAGGAAAATGCAGGGAAGGGAAGGTCATGATCCAGCTATATTAAATTTCATTTAGTCCTAATAATTAGCTATCACAACAACTTTAATGTGGCAGAAGTAGAAAAGGGATCCTTTCTCTTCTTACTCTGAGAATATATTTCCATGTAGTCTTACACTGCTGAATTTAACATTCTTGTTGACTGCAGCCCTTCTGCAAAACTTGCACTGCTTTTTGTTAGTATTTATTTTTGCTTCTCCTTCTAATTCGGTCCAGCTAAGAAGTTAATAAGCAGTTCAGAAAGTTATTTTTAGAAATTCCAAAAAGCACCAGGTTTATCTCAAAATCACTATCAGCTCCTGTGATGCAAAAAAAATTTCAGATTTTGTCATTAGCACATCATAGGATTTCACTGTTTCCTGGAGATGCTCCCATAGGAAGGCTGGTTCAAAAATCCAGAGCAGAAGGGGAAACAGTGAAAATTTCTCCAAAGAATTCTCTGCTGCCACTTATGTGGTGATGATGGACAGAGATTGCAATGAGAGACATACTGGACAGGGATTACGGAGAGGAGTACAAGACTGATGTACTAATGTACACAATTAACATACTGCTCATTCTCAAACCATTTTCACTCACCATTATCAGCTTCTACCTTTCTCAGGAAAGAACTTCCATGCTCTCTATAAAATGGAAAGATGCTAATGATCCACTTCTAATTGTCAGTGAAGAGATGAGTTTTAACAGCAGAAATATGAAATTTTTGTATCTCAATCTTATCCTGAAGAAATCTCTGGACTAGACCTCTTGGTCTCATTTTCCTATGCTCAGCAAAGCTATGTTGTTGTAGAACCCAAAAACAGTTTTAAGCCACCTTTACACTGATTCTACTTTTGCCTGATGGAAGGTCAGAACCAACCATAGGCAATGTCAGAACTGAAGTCACACTAGCCAAGACTTTGTACTTTGTAGCCAGCCATTCTTGGGGCCATGCCTAACACTGAGTTGCCAGACCCTCTTACGGTGACCAGTCATGCCCCAAGGACAATCCAACACTAGAAGACCCCTCAGAGATTAGATCCATCATTTTCCTGAGGTGCTTCATGGTATCAGATGAAGGATTTTGCCCAACATTTTTATTGTTACAGTACTTGATGCTGCAGTCAGAATAACAAAACTCATATGGCTACATCTGATCTAGATTTCAACTACTTAATCCAGGTAATGACATCAGTGCAGCTGCAGCATCTACATGGGGTATCCATTACATCGGATACAGGTAGCATTAGCCATTAGTACCTGACGTGTTTGATTATAAACTGGAATGTATGTGTTTGCACAAGTTGGGACTGCATCTCTGAAAGCAATACAGACATGCTTCTAATGCTCAACCAGGCTTTCCAGAACATGCTCATACATTTGAATGTCTTGCAAAATAGATCAAAGGAGTGACCTTACCTTTTCAGCATACACCTCTTTCTGTGCCAAATGCAAAGCTCCTTCAATGCTCACTTCTTTATTTTTCACCATGTTCATAATTTTGAGGATTTTTTCCTGGCTTAACTGGAAAAAAGTCAATCAACTGTTTTTTCATCTGGCCATTGAGGATACACAGTGCTTGTGACAGTTACAGCTATGGTATCTGCCATTAAATTACAATTTCATTCATATTTTATGTTCTATCGACAACCTGCCCAGCAAATATAATCTCCCTTTGAAACCTGGTGAGAGCCCACAAGATATCAAATATACAGGGGGTTTACAATTTTAGAAGATGGGGTGGTAATATCTGGAGATAGAACTGCCAGGAGGAAATCTTTTTTAGTTAGAAAATCTGGCAAGAAGTGAAAACATCAATTTTGCATGCTTGCCTGTGTCTTACCCTTAGTGTAAAGTACTGCATACAAACAACATGAAAGCAAAATCAGGACCATTTGAAATTTTCAGGGTGAAGGGGGGGAAAATTGATGTTGGTACTAGTAGGTATAGCTGTCACGTGAACTTATTGAAACACGTTAACAAGCCAGCATTACACTTCCCCTTTCTTTTACCAGAAAAGGAAGCTGCACTGTCAATAAGCTCACCCACAAATTTATGTCGCTCTTAAGTGAACCAGGTAGGGATTGCAAAGCCAGAGAGGAGTCAAGCGAAGAAAAAAGGCAAGTGGAATAACCAGGGACCCAGAACTACAGCTGCTTACACTGTTGGTAAAGCTCTTTCACAGACTTCGTAGAAGGAATTAACAACCTCCCTTTGAGACAGACCAAAGAATTCCCTTTTGTGATATTCATTCCTCAACAGCAGCAGAATTGGGATTTTGGAAAGAGTGTGTAGGTTTTACCACCAGAGCTCAGGAACTTGTGATTATTTTTTATCCAGTAGCTTAGCTACAATATTCAATTAGCTACAATATACAACGTTTCTCACCCCCCTGGAGAATGACTTCACTGCCAGGAGGTAAGTTAACCACAGTAAAACCTTTCTTTCAAATCATCCTTTCAAACTCTTCCATGTGGACACCCAGGCAAAGAGCCCACCCCAGGAGTGTTGCCCAGGCTGTGCAGGAGCAAGGGGAAGGGGCCCGAGGAATGGGAAAGGCATCTCCCCTGCATCCCTATCGCTGGAGCTGCCGGGAGACTTCAGAGCAAGGCAGCTCAAAACATCTCAGCATTGCAAGCAAACCTGATTTTGGCTACCCCAAGGACAAGGCACTGACAGCTGGAGTGGGTTTTGCTGTTCCTGCCATAGGAAAAAGAAGGTGAAGAACTAAAGGCAGGTATCCCTAGAGAGCTAGCTCTGCTGCCTAGGACGGGGAGGGTGGGTAGAAATTGGGGATCTTGAGAGCTGCCAGTTTTGCCGCCTGAGACTCGTGATTGCTACCCCCAGCAGCAGCCACCAAGCTGCTTCCCAGACTTCTGAAGCAGGCAGAGCAGGCAGGGCAGGCAGGGCAGGCAGAGCAGGGCTGCAGCTGCTTTGCCACCCCCAGCACCTTCCTCTCTTAACCAGCCGCTTGCTTTACCTACGCCTACAGCTCTCCCCAGATAGAGCCGCTTCTCTGCTAAAAACCCCAACAACGCAGCCTTGCAGCAGAACAAGGTCCTCTCCACCTGTCCGAGCACCCGAGTCACCTGGCACAAGGCTGGTGGGCAACACAAAAATAACCAGTCACACCACAGAGGTCAGGGACCAGTAAACCCACCGGTTCTCTCTTTTTCTGAGTCACCCTCCACCGAACACACTTTAGCTTACCAAATTTCTAACATCTCAACCAGCTTCTGATCAACAGACACACTGTATGTTTTTACAGCCTACAAATAAAACTGGGAGTAAAAGAAGAAATATTTTGTTTTTAATGCCTTGGAAATTTCAATGCTAATATAAAGGTAACTTATGGCATAGCTCCCAGCTGCGAATAGTAATGTGAACAGTGAGGAAAGAATGAAAGCAGTCTGATAATTCATTCACACTTGCTGAGGCGCAGAAGGTTCCTACAATGACCTCCACATTCTGTATTTGAATTTTAAATGGCCATATATTTACACCACACATACACTGTATACGATTAGATCTTAACAAGATAATTCCCCACTGAACAGGCTGTGTATAAGCAAACAAGAATATGGATATATTTGAATTCAAAAATATAGTTTCCTTAAGGCTGAGCTCTGCCAGCTTTAAAGTGCTAGATCCTATTTATACAGGATAGCAATTCTTGATAGGGAGTCGGGTAGTATTTTTTTAACTGTCAGGCTCTTTTGTACGGAGAAGGGTTCAAAGGTTTTGCAGCAGGATGACAGTGAAAACATAAAGATAACATCATAACCTTATGTCAAAGGCACAGTCTGATTAACATAAACAAGAGAAGTACTTATTTCCTTCACTTTGGTACACAAATAATTCAATGAACAAGCTCAGTTCTCATTTGAACCTCATGGTGTTGTCCAGCCACACAATATATCATGCACATCTGCAGGGATGCTTCCTAAGAGTGGCCAAGAAAACAAGAGTTTCAACTTGAAAAATATGAGGCTTTGAATTTTTTTGCTAGGATATAGGTGATTTGGGTCATCATCCCTGCTCTCATGCAAGCAGGCTCCATACTCTGCAGTACCCCGAGCACTGGGTATTTTAAGGTCTGTCTTTCTGGCCAAATATTCTATCCAGGACCAAGAAACCTTGCCACAACATCTCTACCAAAACCAAGACATTTTCTTGCAATTCACTATGTTTCTCTTTTGCATTGTTGAAGATTTTCAAAAGTTCTTTTTTTTTTTTAATTTTTACCAAAAAAAACGCAGAAGGGAATGCATTTTTGGCTCTGTGAAGTATTCAATTCTTCATTCGGCTTACCTTCACCAAAGTCTCCTTTAGACTAGAATGAAATTCTGCCCAAGACATGAAAACAACAGGCAACATTTCTTAATTTGCTTAATAATATATGAAGAAACATGTTTGCAAAAGAGAAGCAAATCATTTTGTATAATACAAATTCAGGAAGGTTAGTTAGTAAGTTAGACTACTGACAGCTAATGCATTCCCCAGAGAGCACACAAAAGACAGTGCTTGGTACAGGTTATTTTTAACAGCACCCTGTTGTTTTAATGTCTCGGTTAACTCTCTCTCTGCGCATCTGTAAGCAGGAGGGAAACATTTCAAAAGACAAGAGAGGCAAAAAAGGCACTTTTCAGCTTATGAGAACTGTCAAAATTATTTGTCAGAAGTCTGTCTGGCTTGCTTAGGTTTTTGACAGCCACATGTTAGCATGGTATTTTTACTTGCAAACAAGACTTGAGTAACAGATCCTGACCTTTACATTTTGTATCTGTGGGGCTTTTCTCTCAGCATGCCATAATTTTTGTAATGCTCATTCTTGTGTTTGTTTTGGTTATTTTTTTTTCTTAAAAAGAAACAATTTTTGTCATAATATCCACCGAAATGCCACTAAGTCAGATCGTGTTATATTGTCTAATAGAATGTGACTGGTGCAACCAAACAGAATGTTTTTATACAAGACTGGATAAAAAAAACCAGAAAAAAATTAAATGCTCCTATTATAAAGCACGCACATTAAGGAAATACACGAGATTGCGTTAATAATGCATTCATTTACCTGCCAGGTTAAAGAAGCTTGTTTAATACAGATTAAATTTTCATCACCCACCCAAAATTCAGTATAGCCACGTAAGAGATTTGAAAGAAAAATCAACGCTCACAATTGAAGGAAGAGCACAGGGCTCCAGGCATTCTCTGTATATCCATTACTCTGCAGGGTGAGGTTTTTATATTTTTGGCCTAGACATGGTATAAAATGTGTTTAGTGGTGAGATATGAGGTTTCTGGCTTATTCTTGGGCAGCTGCCAACGCAGTACTCTACATGACCCCTTCCAGGGCTTCCTGCCACTCTCCGTTTACCCAGCACAGTCTCACAGGAGGCCCTGAGAGGTATGGAAGGTTTTGCATGTAGTCTCCACGCTGTGGAAATATTACTCTAATGACTCCAGAAAGGTCCTCAGACCTTCTGAGCATCAACCATGAAAGAGGGGTTAGAGCCACGTCATCTGAGTCTTTTACAGTTGATTGAGCAAAGCAGTGGAAGGCATGCAGAACATGGGTAACCGTTCAAGGAGAAGACAGGCTAACGTCTGCCTGTGTCTCTCCTTTCTGACTCTCATCCTTTAATACACGCTGGTTCACATTCCCCAGTTGACCACAGGATTGCTGTGACTCCTATGCGGTCAATGGAGATACCTGGGCTTCTCTAGGTGGCAATTCACCCCATGTAAGACCTGTCTCATGATCTGGCAACTCTTTCTCTCCATTACCTACAGAGGAATTTGAGCTATGCGGCTTTTGCTCAGCTTATTCTTATTCTGTGGACCATCCTACCTGAATCATAGTAATATGACAGCAATCTAATGCAAAAAGACTCCTGAAATGTGTGCACGTACACCCATGGAGATGTAGAGCAAGAAATCTGCCTGTCAGTCAGCTATACATATGATCTCAATTATTACAAATATTGGCACGATTCAGTGAGACATTATTTTAGGTTTACTTAGGTGAAGATCATAGCTAATATGCACCGAGCTCTATCATTTCCTGTGACAACAAAACCAAGTCATGCAGAAATCCTGCTCCCCGTACAAATGAGGAGAAATTTTTATTCAAGTCTAGTCAAGCTTTTCACTGTTAAGCATTCCTTACACTTGTCCTTATTAAACATTAACAGTGTTAAACATTCTCATCTGCTTGCTACAAGGAGTAAGAGACAAACGAGCTCCTGGCTGCCGCAGGACCCAGAAGGGAAGGCTGGACCAAGAGGGCTTCCTCCTCATCCTCTGCACTCCGCAGGATCAACGCTCCAAGGGACAAGGGGGCTCAATCCAAGAGGAAAGAGCCAAGTAGTGGCGACATATTGCTTTACAGAGATCTCATGAATTTCTGGGCATAAATCTGACTGAATGCTAGTGTTGTCCACACAGAAAGAAATATCCTGTTTTAACATACATGCCCAACATTTTTGGTACAGCATAGGGTCATATTTTCATTCATTTTGGAGTCCATTTTTTTTAATACAGCTTTTAATAATAGAAGATTTTGTTTTCTATCCAGAACAGCAGGATAAAGCAACTTTGAGGTAAAGCCTTCTGGGGATTTTCTGTTGACTCAGTGCCTTCCAGCTACAGTGCACAACACTTTCTGCAAAGCAAGTACAGTGTAGAAGCTTAAAAATAATTGCCAGGATATAATGCAGTGATTGACCTGCGATGAAATTTCAAGTAGCACCTTCCTTTTCCAAGCTGTGTTTTTAAAGAAAACATTTTTTGTTTTGGGGTTGTTTTTTTTTTTTTAATCTAAGGCACTGGCTTAGTTTGCTATGGATATTTGTCTTCCTCACAATATTATGCTGAACTGCACTCTGCCTGCATGTTGAACATGTTATTTAAGTGATTTTAAAGACAGTGGACACAATGTGGGTTGCCTTAAAAGTTCCAGTCTGGTGTTATCAACTTTCATCTAATGTATTCACTTCTACCAGGTTTGAACTTGGCCCAAAGTGTACTGAGTGCTCCCATATATTTACAGGGGAGTGACTGTCTTCTATGATTGGGGTATCTGAAAAGCCTTCACTTGTAATTTACATGAAATATCAATACAGATGACGGATGTGATATTTTTATGTGGCAATACCACCTTTTGTAGCCAGTCATAGAGATAGACTAATATTATTTGTCAAACAGAGCTGCTATTCATCAAATAAATTATCCATCTGTAATAATGTTTTGCATTATTTGTTCAGATCTATATCTGGCTGAATAATATCTGTCAACATTTATTCAAAGAAGAAGGTATTCATCAAACAGTAGCTTGATTTCCTTGAAAACACTGGAAATTCTGCCACTTTCAGTAGAAGCTGGAGAAGCCCAAAGGCATTTTATTATAATTTATTTTTTTATTGGTATAAAGGTATATAGTGATTAAGTACAACAACGAAAAAAATCTCAAAGAGCTAGTCTCAAAAATATTTAGGAACCTAAAATATAAACTGGTGCCCAGTGACATGTGTGTAGTACAGCATACAATACAAACTAGTCTACCTATTTCCAGTTTTGAAAATATCACCGCATTGAGGAATCTCAATGCCTAAACATTTCTTAAAGTTCCCTCTGAAAAACTGACAATTTATAGGTCTCACATGAAGCAAATACTTGAGAGTTTCCCCTCAATCACCACTTAACAGACCAGCATGGACCCTCCTGCTCTAACAGCACTTGGAACTTGTCAGGAAACGACACTCAGAAGGTAATTACCAGAGTTTCACTGTGAAAACTCAAAGGCTAAATTGAGTAGCGTTGCACAGGAGACTGACTTCATTTTGTACTGTTCAGTGTTTTCATTAATGATCTGGTGATGGACTAGAGATTTTGTTTATTAAATTTGTAGACTTTGACACGAAGGCGGAAAGAACTGCAAGCAGGTTGCAAGGGAGATTCAAGTTCAAAACAAGCTTGACAAATGAGAGAAGCAAAAATATACAATTCAACGAGTGGGAAAAAAAAGAAAAAAATCTTTTAAAAGTTCAGCGGGAACTACCAGCTTCACAAGGACTGGCTGAGGAACACATTTTCTTCAGAAAAAGACCCAGAAGTTATAGCAGCTTACAAACCGACACAGGTTAACAACGTCATGCTGTTGCAATAAAAGTGAATATCCCACTGGGAGGTTACAGACAGCAGCATAGTCTGCAAAACACAAGTAATCTTTCCAGTACTCAGCACTGATAAAGGCTTCTGCTGGAATAGTGCATGAAGTTTTACATGTCTCCAGAAAAGTGTTGGACATGTTGGAGGTGTCCAGATCAGGACAATGAGAATAATCAGAGCTTTGGAAAAACACAACTTAACAAGGAAAGAGAGGAAGGACTGGGATTTCACAACCTAGAGAAGGCTGGGAGAGTCACAGTCTTCAAGTACATAAACAGCTGCTGCAAAAAGGAAAGGAGCAGGTTGCTCCCTGTGTGGTAGGATAAGAAGAAATACAATTTCAATTACAACAAAAGAGGTTCAGCTTAGATGTTTGGAAAACAGTAAGGATAACACTAACCACTGAGCTGTCTA